CTCTACATACATACCTATCTACTAGAAGTCTGTCTTGCTGGTTAAATTAAATGGTAAATTTATTTTGTTATCTTTGTTAATATACATCATCCTCATTTTTTGTGCAGCTGGTATAACGTTATAAAGCTTCACAAGTATGGGTTGATAATAGTACAACATGTTGCTTTTGAGAACAGAAATGTAATGGAGATCAATACATTCTGTAAGTCAGGTTTTGCAGCCTGAGCCTTCCTACAGCATTGCTGGATTATAGTGATTATCTTCAAGATTGAGAAAGATAACTAGCGATAACTTCGCTCTTAGAGAAAACAGCTTGCATGCCTGTTTACTATAATTAAAATGCATATTATAGGAATTTGCTGATTAGAGTACCTAAGCAGCTCCTCCAATTTGTCAGCAGTGTTTTTTTTAATAGATGACATCACACTAACTGCAGATGGCAAGGATACTTATGAGGAAGTGAAGAAAGCTGGGAGATATAGGTAAAACCCTATTTATGTTATTCTGCTCAGAGATCCTGAAATGCTCTGTTAATTTTGTTTTCATTGTATCCATAGCTTCTCCTCTATAATTTTTGAATGTTGTATTAGATTAATACTATATTGATCTGGTTTTGTCCTTAGCTGTTATGAATATGAAAAAGTGACGATTGCAAATCCTTTAATCCAAAAGCCATGGAATTTATTAGTAACTTAACAGAAAGGATTGAGGAGGGAAACATGGAAATAGTGGGTTACTGTTTAGTGTTCTGTATCAACAATTAAGAAGGTTATTTTCTTGTTAAAAACTCAAAACATTTTTTTAAAAAAATAAGGAAAAAAAACAAGTTTGCCAAGATATTCCCAGACAAACAAAAATATTTAGAGGGAAAGACTTTGCAAACATTGTGAATAGTGGATAGCAAAATTCCCATCTTATCTGAATCTTGTCTTGTTGCAGGGAATGTAAACGGACCCAGGGAGTGTCCACTACAGATCTGGTTGGCCGGATGTTGCTTATGACCAAGGCCCATCACAGCAACATTGTAAGTGAAAAATGGCTTCGCGAGTTCCAAGATGCTCCAATTCCTTCAATACTCTGAATGAAGGATGTACGGATGCTTTTTGGATTACAGAGTTGAGTTTCTCAAATGAATCTTGGGGCATTTGTAAGCTCTCTGATTATTCTTTGATATGATTCCAGGATTATTGCTGTTTGATACAGGCAGCAGACGCCAAAACAAAGTAAAAGTGTAAGTTTAGGGAAGTGCTGTTTGAAGTGGATACTGCCAAGAAGGAAACAAAAAAAACTTACCATTGAAATGTGGATCATCAGTTAAGGGTGGGGTTTGGAAAGAGAGGTCAGGTTGCCTTACCTGGCAAATGGATCAAGATTTAATTTAGGCAATGGCATTTATGTATACTTATGAAATAGTGCTTAAATTATGACAGTTTACTAAATGGGCAATTTAGTTGGGCTAAGAATATATTTAGTCTGTGTGTTTCTGTGGCTGAAGTTGGAAGGCCATACTTTACTTCTGAAGCTAGTTTCTGAGCTAGTTTCTAGAAGTATGTAAAGTATCTGTCCTTTAAACAACAAGTCATTTCATACTATGAGGTCAATACATTTCACCTCATTAAAGCACGGAGGAAACATAATTCGCTCTGTGTCTCCTCAGGCTTCATTCCACAGTTCTGGTAGACCTAAGAGGGCTTGGAGTGATGTGATTAAAAGTAACATGGCAGTTTTGCTTTTTTTTAGGCATGGGGACAAAGTACACATTGTCTTGTAAAGCTCGAGGTGTGGTTAGAACAAAGCATGCTTTTAAAGTTTTGCATAACTGTACTTTTTGTGGTTGAGAGATTTTCTTTACATGGGTATAAAGTGTTTAATGAGAACTGGTTTAGTGTAGAATCTGGGTGTCTTAAGTTCTAGTCCTGCCTAAAATACAGTAGTCAGCTGGGTATGTTATTTCTCAGCACTCAGAAAGAAGGCAGTGGCAACCCACTTCTAAAAATGCTGCCAAGAAAACTTCATGGAGTTGTCCATGTAGTTAGCAGGAATCAGCACTAATCTCAAGAGGGAGGGTGGGGATTGAGCAAAGTTGAAGAATGGCAGGCCTGCTGTACCTAACTTGGAGTTCCATATGTTTTTTTTCATTTGTTGGATGGGCCACTGAAATGTCTTTACCATTGATATGTTTCTTTTCTATTTTAGGCTGAAGAGACAGATTATCGGAAGCATGCAGATAACCTAGGAAAGGTAAGAACTGGCACTGGAGGCACATCACAATGCAGTTTATGCATAATCAAATATAATATTCCAGTGGAATTATTCCAAATTTGGAATGATTGGAGTTATCTGAAATTGATGATTTATTCATTTAAACTATTTTTGTTTCCCTATTTTTTTATATTGTAAAGCTGACATCAGAGATTGAATAATAATAATAATAATAATAATAATAATAATAATAATAATAATAATAAT